AGCGGCTGATGCACATTTTACGCATTTGGAGAGGTGGACTGGATGCTTTGCGTTTACTGGAAGTTGGTCCACTTAACGCACGGTTGTAGACTAAATATTAATGACAAATGAATGAAAATTAAATTGTGAGTTTTTACTTCATATTTTAGAAATAAAAATGACTGGGGAAAACATTTATGACGTCTTTTTAAACTAAATTTTCTAGCGCGACCTGCCTGCTTCACTTAAGTCACTGCTTATTAAGGTCCGTCCAAAATTACCGTGGCCCACCCAAAAATGAAAACCTGGCGCCGCGCCAGTTATAAACCTCTGCAAATTGTTGTTCTTCACTTTATCAAACTCAGACTTTGTACAGCTAAATTCAAGATGTAAAATTATGAATTCAGTCGAGCTCTTCCGTCCCTCCCTCTCCTGCTCTCCTGGAAACCCGACATCGGCTGGGAGGTGAAGAAGGAGATGAGGCAAACAGTGAGTGCGACGTAAAGAAACCAGACTGGTGTGGAGGTGAGCAAAACAGCTGGAAAAGTGTGGGTGTTGAATCCCCCACGGGTGCGATGCCCCCGGCTGCTGTCACCTGTTGTGAGCAGCGCTCTGCTGAGGGTAGGCCCCGCCCGCAACGCTGCGGCTGCTGCAGTGTTTTCTTTACCGTGGGAAATGGGTAATAATGGCTCTTTGATGGGAACAGGTTACCGACCCCTGGTATAAGATCTGAGCAGGTAAAACAAAAATCCTCATCAGCAGGCTTTTTTGAAAGTGGGGGGGGGGACACAGCTGCCGATCACGAATTTTGCCGGGGACATGTCCCCGGCGTCCCCGGTTAAAATGACGCCTATGACTAATCTCTCTGAGGACACGGTGCTAGTGCACGCTCCTACAGCACCTTGACATGACTCAATAAATGTTACGCAAAATTTAGTGAACATCAATTTGCATGTATTTGTTATAAATGCCACTGTATAATTCTTGCTATCAGTATTTGCAAGATATTGGTATTTGGGTCTGTACTGGTTAGACTTACATGAGTTAAACCAAGGTCTATAGCCCTTGGGTCATAGACTATGAGCTATAAGTATATTGGTATTTTTATACTGGGAATCAGGAGTTATTTTAGTGATCATCTTGTTTATTTTTGCCCTGATTGTGCCCTGAGCAGTTTTATGACTGAATTAAAAAAAAATCTACATAAATTGAAAAATCGTCTTAAATAATCGAGATCTCAATTTCAGTCACAATAATCGTGACTATTGTTTTTGCCATAATCGAGCAGCCCTACTTTAGCATATCCGGTCACATAATGATGATGTCATATTCAGTGGTCGTTGTGCATCATTTCAGGCCTCGTGGTCAACTGTCTGAACCGCTGAACAGAAGTGCCTGGCTTATTTTCTAAGTAAAATAAATATGTGCAATACGTTGTCAACATCAGTGAGTCTCTAAGTCTATTCTTTTTGTATGTTATATATGTTAAAATATGTGTAAATAGGTCGCTGATTAACACTTGCAATTTAGTGTTGTGATGGTTTTAAAAAAATCCTGAAGGTAGTAAAAAAAAGTATTAAAAAGTAGTAAATTTTACTTAAGGATTGCTGTATATACCCTGATGGAAGCTCTGGAGATCCGGTCTGCAGCTGAAGCCGTCTCTCAGAGCGAGTGAGTGGACATCTGATGTATCTGAAGGTCGTAGACGCCCTCAGCATACTCATGACTGGTCAGAAGATACTTCCCAGGTGGCTTCTGGTGGACGGTTTCACGGTTTTATGTTGAATCATTAATTTACTGTGAAGCAGTCAAGGCATTATTAAATCATTGTAGATAAAACTAAATATGATCATAAACAACCTGCAGAGTGAATGAAATTATGAGAGAAGATAATTGTTTTATTAGAAGGGAAAAGTCTCGACTTCTACATGGACTTTGTAGCTGCAGCTCCATGTCAATATGAGAGGTTGTTTAGACTTTGTCTTCAGATGGTGCAGCTAGAGAAGTTAAACATGGAATTGTTTTGGTATATGGAATAACACAACATTCCTGGCATCAGCAACTTGCTAGACACTTGACTGTTGACCTCTGACATTGCTGTGGACAAATAAGCTTGATGGACGTCTCCAACGATACACATGTCAAACATTATAAAACTGTTGTGGATTAATAAAAGAAACTCGGAGACAAAAAACAGGCATTGAAATATAATTTCTCAAAATATCTTGGCTTGTTCTTAATGTAAGGAATGCATCGAAATCAAATTCTAGGCCAAAAACCGAAAATGAGGAAACCAAGGTCGAAAACCGAAATCCACCAATGCCAGCGCCACCGCTGGCCTACAACGACAGCTGCAGCTTTGTTCTTGATGACTAAATTATTAATAAATGTGGAGTTTAAACTTTTAAACATGAGCTCTATCTGGATTTGCATCTTTGTTGTTGGATTAGTTTGGATTGAATCCACCTGAGCTTTGTTCGTGTTAGCGTTGAATCCTTGAGTGAACAAGCACACTTTGGTAAGCAGGGATTTATCAGGAAAGCCCCTATGTTCTGAGCTCACTTAAGGTTGGTTTATGCTTGACGCGTCCGCAAGGTCCGCACGGCTCCACTCTGCAAAATTGCATCATTTTAACAACCACGCCCCTCCACCACGCCTCCGCACGGCCCAAAATTTCCGCACCACGCACCTAGGAAATTTTCTTACCATGCGGACGGTCGGACGCGGAAAAACATGGCGGACCAGCAAGAACTAGTATGGCAGAGGTTCGTAAATACAGCCATTTGTATGATTCAGCTCTCAGAGATCACTGTGATCAACATGTTGTTAATAATTCTTGGAGAGAAACAGCTCGCACTGTCGGAAAAGACGAGGACGCTGTTAAAAATGCTGGAATGCCATTGTTGTAAACAGTAATTTTTACTTCTACAATGGTGTAGTGTTGGATGCATGCCATAGAGCTCCATGCTGCCCCGGGTTTTTCACAGCATCTGTCTGCATTCCTTCCTTCGTGGGGGTTGTTGTTGGCATTCACAAGGCTGCCTTGGCGTCAGATTTGGATAACAAGACTTTGGGTCAGGCAGAGATAATTTTCCTCTCTGCCTTCAGTCTGTAACTGGTCATTCCAGTCCTTCAGTGAAGCCAATTTAGGTGTTAAACATCTCCACACCGTCCGGTGACCCTCTCCGAGATGACATCCATTTTGCGCATCAACACCGGTAACGCAGCTAGGACATTGTCCAGCTTACGATTCACCTCGAGTAGCGTCCCAGTCTGTGAGGTCTCCACCCAGGCGGTGCTTCCCGTGGGTGCGGGTCGCCCTCCAATCTCTCCTGTCTTCCCAAATTTCCAGAAAACCAGATATCCTCCCACTCCAATCAGAAGAAATCCAGTGATCACACACTTAGCGCACCACACTTAGGGAATCCCTGGTTTATCTGGACTCTGTGTTAGCTGGATAAGGTGAACTGACCTTCTTTGCTGAACCCATCTTTTACTGTCATCAACCATAATCATAATCATAATTATTATTATTATACCCAAATCATAATTCATTTCATGTAATTAAAATACCATTATACTGAACCAAGTGATCATTTATGATGATTATATTAAACAGTAATAAAAGTTTTATTAATTATTATCATCATCTAATTATTATCATTGTGACTTGAAGTGTCCTCCTCCTGGGATGGAACAGCAGCAGATATGGATATGATCTTGAGCAGACATCGTGGTTCCTTGTTTAATCTGTGGATTTAAAAGTACTGTTTGACCCAGCTTGACCCAGCTGGGTAGATGTGCCCTTTGCCACAAATTAGAGGACCTTCGGTGAAGCTACATTAGGTTTTTAATCTTAATGGGACCTTCTCTGTTAAATAAAGAATAAATAAAGAAAAATGAAAGTGTCTAATAATCTGATGTGTTTGATAATCAGATGTGTTTGATAATCTAATTTATTTAGTAATCTAATGTGTTCGATAATATGATGTGTTTGATAATCTGATGTGTTCAGTAATTGATGCGTTTGATAATCTGATGCGTTTGATAATCTGATGTGTTTGATAATCTGATGTGCTTGATAATCTGTGTTTGATAATCTGATGTGTTTAATAATCTGATGTGTTTGATAATCTGATGCATTTGATAATCTAATGCATTTGATAATCTGTGTTTGATAATCTGATGCATTTAATACTCTGATGTGTTTAATAATCTGATGTGTTTGATAATCTGATGCGTTTAATACTCTGATGTGTTTAATAATCTGATGTTTGGTAATCTGATGCATTTGATAATCTGATGTGTTTAATACTCTGATATGTTTAATACTCTGATGTGTTTGATAATCTGATGTGTTTGATAATCTGATGCGTTCAATACCCTGATGTGTTTAATAATCTGATGTGTTTGATAATCTAATTTATTTAGTAATCTAATGTGTTCGATAATATGATGTGTTTGATAATCTGATGTGTTCAGTAATTGATGCGTTTGATAATCTGATGCGTTTGATAATCTGATGTGTTTGATAATCTGATGTGCTTGATAATCTGTGTTTGATAATCTGATGTGTTTAATAATCTGATGTGTTTGATAATCTGATGCATTTGATAATCTGATGCATTTGATAATCTAATGCATTTGATAATCTGTGTTTGATAATCTGATGCGTTTAATACTCTGATGTGTTTAATAATCTGATGTGTTTGATAATCTGATGCGTTTAATACTCTGATGTGTTTAATAATCTGATATGTTTGGTAATCTGATGCGTTTGGTAATCTGATGCGTTTAATACTATGATATGTTTAATACTCTGATGTGTTTGATAATCTGATGTGTTTGATAATGTGATGTGTTTGATAATCTAATGTGTTTGATAATCTGATGTGTTTGATAATCTGATGCGTTTGATAATGTGATGTGTTTGATAATCTAATGTGTTTGATAATCTGATGTGTTTGATAATGTGATGTGTTTGATAATCTGATGTGTCTTCTGACTCTGTTCTGTTTCAGGAGGCTTTATCAGACTCGGACCGGATCAGGTGAGTCTGTTTGTTTTATAAATCAACTGGTTATGGATGAGCCAGCTGTAGTTCTGATCTCAGACCAGATTTAACCACATCTCATCACAAGACTGTTGATGTGAAACAAAGTAATCAGTCAGACTCAAACACTTCCTGTTACCCAGAATTCTCCAGCAGCAGAATGAGGACCTGCGCCGCCGACTCTCACTCTCCACCCATAAGATGGAGACCATGGAGGTGGAGTTTGAGGGCAGCCGGCAGTACATGGAGGCGGAGCTGAGCCGGACTAGAGATGACCTGGACAAAATGAGGGACAAGTTCCGAAGGTGATGATGTCACAAACTGACCAGTTTCAGATATGTTTGCTATGTGACCCTTGAACTTGACTCTGACACTTGTGACTGGACTATGAGTCTGTTGTGCGTGGACGCTGTTTTTGGACTCAGGTTACTTTGAACTTACTTTGACAGACTTGACTCAGACCTGTTGCGACTCGCTTGACTCACCTCTACAGTCACATACATTTGCTGTTTAATGGCTAACAGACAGGAAGTGGAGACTAGTGTGAGCTCTGACAGCATGCCCTCTGAGCTCGACTGATTGTGTATGAACCTTCCAACAGTTTGAAAATCTGACATTGTTTAACTTTGTTTGCAGACTCCAGAACAGCTACACTGCATCTCAAAGAGCCAATCAGGACCTGGAGGAGAAGCTCCATGCTCTGGTAACGCTCATCTTTAGCTTGCTGGTAGAAGCGGATGACTCATCATGTAATGAATAGTGGTGTATAGACACGCCCCCTAAGGGGGTGATCGATCACATGATTCATCACCTTGTGCCTCATGTTGCCATGTGCTGATAGCGGTGTGACATAGCTTCTGATTGGTCCATTACCTCATTGATTATTAAAACACTGTGTGTGCTGAGGTCATTGATCTCTGCATCAATCACTATTGGAAAACTCCTGACTGACTGGATGGTTGCTATGGGCAACAGAGTGAAGTCAGACTACTAAAAATGGGAATTCAGATGGGGATGGTCACCTGGTTTCCATGGCAACCGTTCATATTTATTAAGGTTAAGAATTGATAGTTTTTTTTATCAATATCAATGGTATTGTGGATTCTGTCTATCCAATTCTTTTATCAATTCCCTTTTCAATTCAAGAGTAGTTCAATAGGTGGCAACAAACTAATAGCACACGGTCTCCTGCATTATAACTGTCAGCTTTTTTATACACATTTTAGTAAAAAATAGTTGTTTACCTGACATGTTTCAGCTAGTATCTCTAGCCATCATCAGAGATCGCTGGTGTTGGTGGTGTAACTTCCTGTTATCCGCGGGCAGCAGAGGACGATGTTGCCCTCTGCTGCCTACGTTAGGAAGGACTAAAACTGTAAAAACAACAAAAAATGGATAACGAAGATAAACACAGAATGAACGCACAAAACAGATCTTTCCAAATGTTCTCCTTTGTGCTCCTTGAAGAATAATAATATTAATAAAAATGCATTTTATTTAAAAGCACCTTTCAAGGGACACAAGGACACTTTATCAATCAATTTCCCTCTGGGATTAATAAAGTATTTTTGAATTGAATTGAATTTACAACAATAAAATAACAACAAAGAAACCAAGTTAAAAACAGCAAAAATCACACACAGAAGCCTAAAAATACAAACTAGATAATAAAATCAATGAAGATGGAAAAGGTGACACTAGCAGTATGCAGTCTGAAACAGGTGGGTTTTGAGTCTAGATTTAAAGAAGGAGAGCGAGTCAGACATATGGATGGCTTGAGGGAGAGAATTCCAGAGATGGGGAGCAGAGCTGCTGAAGGCTCTGCTCCCCATTGTGCTGAGACAGAAAGGTGGGACAGAGAAGTGATAGAGGATGATGATCTGACGGAACGGATGGGAGAGATAATGTGAATGAGGTCAGACAGGTATGGGGGAGAAAGGTTATGGATAGCTTTAAATGTGAGGAGAATGAAGAGTCATCTTGTTCGTTGTAGTGTTGCTGTAGCTTTTGAAGAGAGGGAAAAGTCTCACCACAGGTCGGACTTAAGTCGCCAGAGTCTGCTAGTGTGGAGGCAAATGGCGCTGACATGATAGGCAGTGTTAGCTGATTAGTTACCTGCAGTATCAGTTAGGGATGTCCCGTTCCAATATCGATATCAGCTCAAAACCACTGTAGATATGATCAGATTATATCGGACGGCATCAAAAATCTCCGATATAATCAATCCGTTCTGCTTAAAATCATTCCAGGAATTCTATCCAGCAACGCCAAGATCCAGCATATTTTGTTGAAGTCCATAAAAGACAGTGTGGCTCAAGTTCCCCATGGTGGAACAGAGCCAGGAAAGTTGAATGTGTCCAACCTCATCTGTAGTCATGGCGCAATGCCACGCCTGAGCCTGTGTAAGGGAAACACTGAGTATTAAGAAGCGAGGACGTGTGGAGATCACCACTGCTGTGTTGGAATTTACTAGTTCGGAGCGGGTCAAAACATGTCCTTAACTTTAAGTCACCATGTATTTTGTGCCCAAATGCTTTTGCATGTCGTAATGTTTCCTCCTTTTGTTGAAATAACTACTTTGCAAGTATTGCAAGTTGCCTTGTTGTCATTCTTTCTTGTAAAATATAACTGCACTTTCGAGCATTTGTGCTGTTTACGCTTGATGCGTTGGCGAGGTCCGCATGGCTTAGCACAGCCAAATTTCTAACCATGCGGATGGTCTTGTGCAGAAAAACATGGCGGACTGACAGGAGCTTGTACTGGCGGAGATTCATAACTACAGACATCTTTATGATTGGGCCATGAAGTTCCAATTGTGCTTTCCATCCATGCGTCTCATTGCTGCACAGAATGTAAATGAGTCGGTCAGTCGGGTCAGTCAGGTCAGTCGGTCAAACCACCAGGTTGATATGGACGTCAAGTACCACCAGGTTGATATCGGGGTCAAGTACCACCAGGTTGATATGGGCGTCAAGTACCACCAGGTTGATATCGGGGTCAAGTACCACCAGGTTGATATGGTCGTCAAGTACCACCAGGTTGATATGGACGTCAAGTACCACCAGGTTGATATCGGGGTCAAGTACCACCAGGTTGATATGGGCGTCAAGTACCACCAGGTTGATATGGGCATCAAATTTTAATCCAGAGTCAAGCCTAACCCCAAGGCTAGTGACAACTGGTTTCTGACGGGGTGAGAGAAGGTCTAGGTCGAATATAGTGCCTGGGTCTGACCTAGAACTCGGGTAAAAGATGATGAGCTCATTAACATCTATCAATCAATCAAATCAAAGATATGGGTTTTCACAGCATCTGTCTGCATTCCTTCGTGGGGGTTTGTAGCCGCTCAAGGCTGCTAGGGCGTCAGATTCGGATAACAAGACTTTGTTTGGGTCAGGTTGAGATTATTTTCCTCTCTGCCTTCAGTCTTAAACTGATTATTCCAGTCCTTCAGTGAAGCCAATTTTGGTTTTTAAACTTGTCCATACCGTCTGGTGACCCTCTTCGAGATGACATCCATTTTGTGCACTAATACCGGTATCGCAGCTAGAACATAGTCCAGCTTACGATTCACCTCAAGTAACATCCCAGTCTTTGAAGTCTCCACACGGACGGTGCTTTCCGTGGGTGTGGGTCGCCCTCCAATCGCTCCTGTCTTCCCAAATTTCCAGAAAACCAGATATCCTTCCACTCCAATCAGGAGAAATCCAGTGATCATCAGGCCGAATATCCACATGTCTTCGACAGTAGACAGCTAGGAGAGGCATATGATCTTCCGTTCCCTCCAGGAATCCAGCATATACCCCACCGGGTGTGTCCCCTGTGGGCATGTGGGAGCCCCCTGCTCCGTTCTCATTGTTGAAAAAATCTTATCGATCGCGTTGAATGACCAATTTATCAAATCCATGGTTAAAAATAGGGGTTTTCATAAGAAATGCAGAGAAGCGCTCTGTGGGCAGACAGGACAAAGAGCCTTGGGAAAAAAAGATAAGGGAGCGAAAAGAGAAGCGTCTGTACTTGCGAGTGCCAGGAAGAAAAATGAAAAAGATGCAGATAGTTAGCAGCTAGCCAGGACTTGACTTCATTAACACAGTTAGCCAGTGTCGTTACAGAGGCACCATTCCCAGGACATAGTGGTGAGTAGATTTGGCAGTCGTCAGCGTAAAGATGAAACTCAACGCCATGTCCGCGGAAGATTGACCCCCAGCGGAAGCAAATAGATGGCCAATAGGAGAGGACCAAGAGTTGAGCCCCAACCTCCCAACACAGAGCCTCCCAGGAGGAAAGAACTTCCCCCATTTTCACACAGATCCTCTTACCATGGAAGTACGACCAAAATCATTCAAGTGCTGACCCTGTGTTCCCCACCCACCTCTCCAACCGATCAAGCAAAATATCATGGTCAGCCGTATCGAAGGCTGCAGTTAGATCTTATAACAGCAGCACCACAGAGAAACCCTAATCTAAAGGTGTATTGATGTCATTTAAATCCCTGAGTAAGGCCGACTCAGTGCTGTGCTCAGACCTAACCCTGACTGAAATCCCTTTAATAAATCAAAGTCCACTAGATGAGACACCAGCTGCTGGTAAACAACTTTCTCCAACAGGTTAGAGGTGAAAGGGAAAAACATACCACAGACCTCCAGCAGAGGAGAAACGCAGAAAATTTCAGCAGACCATGAGAAAGGCTGACTGACGCCTAGGGCCTCTGTTTTTGTTTAAAAAAAAAGAAATTAAAGCCTCTTTTATAAGACAGACCATTGCATCATTACAGAGTGATGAATCCAAATTAGTGGGTCTCGTAAATGCGGCAAGGAGCAAAAGGGAAAGGTGATAAAACTCTATTCTGATGCGCTTAGCCTCGGAGTAATATTGCCGCATGAGCCCCTCACCTCTGACGCCTAAACGCGTGTCGGCCCCGCTAATCCCTTTGGAGCAACTGTTGGGGCCCCCCCCCCCAAAAGAGGGTGGTTGCGTTAGTGACGTATACTGCGGGCCGAGTGCCGGCCGGAAGGGATATAAACACAGATAAACATGGCCTCTCACTAGAATCTTTCAACCACCTACAACATGGCTAACTGGATGGAGGCAGAGACCATGGAGCTTTTGGCCATGCGGGCGGACGAACAGATTAGTCGCCTTTTTACGGGGACGGTGAGAGACAGCCAGCTGTTCAGAGTGGTGAAAACACTGGCTGAGCGGAGCGTCAAGTGGGACAAAAAGTAGGGATGCACCGATGGATCGGCATTTGATCGTAATCGGCCGATAGCGCCCCTATCGGTTTTGATCGGAATTTTCAAAATAGATCAAAGCAAACCGATCAGGTAGGGTTGTCACGGTAACCAGTGTAGCGGTAAACCCCGGTAAAAAAAAAAAAAGTTGACAATAATAATAACCGTCTTGTTTTTAAAAAAACTATATTATCTTGGTGGGTTTACCGTGGCTGCGGTGTAGGCGCGGTGACCCTTACCAGCCACCGTATCATTGGCTGAAGTTGCCGGCGGCACGTGCACGCTTTGTTTACAACACAACTTTCTTGAAGCTAAAGCTGAAATAATGGTCAAAGGAGGAGACGGCAGCGCTCAGGAGGACATTTATTATCCCTCAAAGAAGACAAAGTCGGAAGTACGGGCATATTTTAGATATTTGAAGAATGCCGAGGGAGTTTATAGAAGACGGACGGACGGCTATCCTGTTTGCAGC